TTTTAATGTTTGTGAAGGTGAGCCTCACACAGTTACACTTTTCAAATGTTGTATATTTTACACAAATGTTGTATATTTTCACACATTAAATGATTTTATTTAAATGTTTTATGTTTAATGGGCATGCGGCTTTGAGTAGTTTTGTGTTTGTATACTAGTTGTGTTTCACACATTAAGTAATTTTAATTAAATGTGTTTCACTAATATTCCTTGTCTATGACAAATATGACACATAAGTGTTTATGCATCAAACATAATGAAGAAGAAAAATAACACTTCAACCATCAAATATGTCAAATATTCCAGTATCAAGAAAATTCACCTCTTTCCCATATAATAATAAAAAATCTACGATATGAAAATTTGGTAAAATAAACACTAAATTTGTGCATTTTGTAATTTGGTCACACAGATATTTTACGATTTCTTCTTAATTATTACATTGTAAAAACAAAAGTTATATGCATAACGTAATGTATGGTCACATAGATAATAAATGTCTGTAATTCATTAGAAACAAATGTTTAATGTCTGTGTACATGTATAAAAATTAAATCCGTCAAATATACCACGTAATTGAACATAAAGAACATTTCACAACTTCTCTATATTGTAAAAAAAGTTAAAAATTACCACTACTTAGTTACATAGACATTATATGTAGTGCAACCTGGATGAAAATTTCACACGTTAAATATGCAAAATCATACTCTATCAAGAACATTTAACAAATTTCTTATGTTTAAGCAAGGAGGAAAAAAACTTCATCAACACTATTCAGTTACATAGACACTAAAATTTTGTAAGTGTTTTAAACAGATATTTATTGTCTGTGTACTCTAAAAATTGCACCACCATCTCTACTAAAATCTATTGCTCCGGCGGAGGACGCCGATGAACTGATTCTGGTGTCACGTCTTCAAAGAAATCTTCCTTCGACGCCTTTGCCGCCATGCTCCAGATCTTGACGGACAATTTCCTCCACTATGGAAGAAGAGATATGTGGCGGCGACCGAGAAAGAGCAGCGGCAATGCTATTAGTAAAGAAGAAATTAGTGGCGGAAATTGCCGATAAAGACCCCACGGCGCGCAGCTTATAGGACGGCTACGAGAAATGGAGGGGCGGGAAAGATGAAGCCATGTCGGGATGATCTCCGATAAAGAAGAAAATAGAGAGAGAGAGAGAGAGGGAGAGAGAGATGGGATGAGAGAGAGGGAAAATGCACAGAGGTGAGATGGAAAGATGATGGAGAGAGAATAAGAAGTGTTGGGGTATATGGGGTACAAATATAATGGGGCTCGGTCCAAATTTATATTGTGATATTTGCCTTGTGTGTTATTTTCACGAAAAATGCTAGGGGTACACCAAACACCTTTGGTGTACCCCATTTATCCCTCACCTTCTCCATTACCACAAAAATGAGTAAGAAACTAAAATAAAATTAAATAAATAAAAATGGGGTTAAAATAAGTGGTAGAGAAAGGGGTGGGGGATAAATGGGGTACACTAAATGGTGTACCCCTAGCATGGCTCTATTTTCACCAACTTCAATTCATTATTACATTTTAAAATGCAATTGGTAATAGACAACCTAAGATAGGCCTATGATGGCCTTGTGTTTTGGTGTGATAGTATTTTGTTGTAACAACAGAAATGCAAAATTATATGGGGACTACACCTTATTACTCCCTCCGTCCCAGTATATTTATCCATTTTTATTTTTACACATCATCCAATATACTTTTTTAATCCATTTTATTTTGTAAGTTGTATATTAAAAAATTCTAGAAATTATATATTAATAATCTATTCCGTATATGTTAAGATAAATGAAACAAGATCACACATGACTATATTTAGGCTTACACATTAAGAGAATTTGATTAGTCAAAGTGCTTAGATGAACAGTTCCAAAAGTCAAAAGTGGACGAATATAGCAGGACGGAGGTAGTATAAGTTATCATTAGCATGATATATATTCCTTCCGTCCTAATTTATAGTGTCTGTTTCAGTTTACGATGTTTGACTGAAATTATTTTCATATCATTTTATATGACAAATGGTATAGAGTTAAAAAAATAAAATTATATATTAAAATACTACACCAAAAGATCTACAAAACTAGTAGTGACAATAATACTTTATTTCATCAAATTGCTAACGAAAATAGAGAAAGAAGATGAATGAAGTTTGACTCCGTGAATAATGAACATGCACCATAAATTGAGACGGAGGAAGTATTATCTATTTTGAATCAAGGTTTCACGATTTTTTTTTTTTTGAAAACTCTCCAAAATGCTTCAAAGCTAATGGAGTTGATTGTCTAATATGCTAGGGATCATAAGTACGTATAGGAAGGGAAACACTTATGAGAGCAAAAACTTTTGGATTGAAAACTTAGTATTTTGGAAAATTATGAATAAGAGCTCTCTTCGTCTCAATCACTTTATCGATTTTACCTTTGTTACAAAGACCGGTGAGAAGATACAAAAAGACCTAATTGCCATTGGTTGAATTTAATAAGTTGATGAGAGTATTAAATTAAATATGAAAAAATAGGGGTAATATAACAATGTTAGTATATATTTCTTTATCATTTATGGAAACTGGACGAAAAAGGTTGAGATATTCTAAAAAGCAAAAATATACTCAAACTGACTAGGATGGCGGGAATAATATTATCGTAACATTATAATAAGGATTATCGGATAGGTTATTAAAAAATAGTGTGCCTCATAAGAAATGGAATTTTATCAACAAAAAAAAAAGGAAAAGAAAGCAACAAGTCAAACCACCAAACACTTTGTGAATGTGATTAGTGCATGTAAATGTGATTAGTGCGTGTACACGGATATGTACATTGTGGGACAAGAACTTATCACCATTCCGTTGTAGTCTAGTTGGTTAGGATACTCGGCTCTCACCCGAGAGACCCGCGTTCAAGTCCCGGCAACGGAATATATATATTTTATTTCCCTTTGTTCGGAAATTGTACTCCTAAAAGAAGGGAAATGAAAATGGCTTTGACTTTTGTTTTTTGTGCAGATATGATACATAATGATAAATCAAGGAAAAATTACTTGAAATAATCTCACACCTTCACGTCCTTTAAAAAATAATTTCACATTTTTACATGTTTCCAAAAAACAATTTCATTTCCCGGCAACGGAATATATATTTTTTATTTCCCTTTGTTCGGAAATTGTACTCCTAAAAGAAGGGAAATGAAAATGGCTTTGACTTTTGTTTTTTGTGCAGATATGATACATAATGATAAATCAAGGAAAAATTACTTGAAATAATCTCACACCTTCACGTCCTTTAAAAAATAATTTCACATTTTTACATGTTTCCAAAAAACAATTTC